CATGCGGAGGGGGCCGTCGCCACTTCTGGAGCCAGTGAGTATCGGATTGCTCGCGGAGAAGAACCAGAAGCCCCTCTCTTGTCTCGCACACGTCGAGAATGAGGGCACACAGGAAACCCTATCGGTTTCTATTATAGGAAAAAAGTGGTTTGGACTGTGGATGTGAATTTATCCTATGGACTTGGATAACACACTCTTCATTGTTTCTTTCTGCAGACCATGAGAGTGGGCCTCGAGCCATTCCGCTTGGAACCTCCATGTTCATTACTGCACTCTCCTCTCATTGGGCCTGAACTTTTATATTTTTGGTTTCCCTTTTATCTCTCCGTTGAGCTGTTTTGCTTTTATTTTATCTTCTTTGCTTTTACTTTTGATATTTATTTGATTCATTGCTGCATGCCATACTCTTTCCTTTTTATAAAAATATAAAAAATATAAAATAACAAAAATAAAAAGATGAAAATGAAAAAGTAAAAATATAGAATATTAAAACTAAAAATATATAATTTTAGTATTTAGCATCTTTCATTTTTATATTATTTTTTTTAAATAAAAAAATTAAATTGTAAAATATTATAAAAAATAGCTTTAGATTAGTAAATAGAGTTTTAATTGATTCTCTGTATTGATTTTTCTTTAAAAACACTTGTGTAAATAACGTCGTTATTTTTAATTTTATTTTAAACACTTCAAATACTTATATTAAAATATAATTATTGTTTTCATAATTTTATTTTGTTTTAAATTTTTATGCAAATATTATTTTACTATAATAAAAATTATAAAACACAAGATAAAAAGTAAAAATTATAAAGTAAAAAAAATCATTTATATAAACATTTAGTGATCATCTTAATTGTCCTACTACTTAATTTCTATCTTAAAAATACTAACAACACTCAATTTCGTAAACAATGAGCAAATTTATTTTTCTAATTTGTATTGTTTTCATTCTATTTTTTAGTTATTTTATGTTTATGTTATTTTACTTTTTTTTAGTTATTTTATCTCACAGAAACGCCTTCCTTCATCGTAACTCAGTTATCTCCTCCCCTTCATTCTTTCCAGCACCTGAAAAATAGAAAAAAAGAAAACCAATCACTCTTCATCGAGGATTGTTACAAGCTCTGTGGAGGTGTGGGCGGTGACTAGGGGCTCCAATGGCAGCGGCGCCGTAAAGAGAGAAACCCCAGCCAAGAGTTTAGCCTCGCATTCATGAAAGGTGATGACACTCGCGTGAATAAGTGAAAAACGAAGACGAAGGCGTGGACAGAACCACTTTCCGCCTCGTGGCAGCCGGCTCAGTTGGGAGAACGAAGGTCGCGCGTCTTTAGTGTCAGCGGCGACGCGGTGCGGAGACGCGATAGTACTTCTCTCTCGCGCACGAGAGGATGAAAATGAAGGTTGGACCGCCACGAACGACGGCGACGTTTCTGACGCAGGCGACACCACCGACGGTGGCACTTGGCTGATAGAGGATATGTGCGGCGGCGCTGGTCTGGAGGCATGGAGCTGTCGTACGATGAAGAAGCCCTTAAACCTCCTTTGGTTGGTTCTAAGCGGAAGAAGAAGAAAACCCTAAGTGTTATCTGATTTGAGAAAAAAAAAGGGGTTTTGGGCCTGGGCCAAGCAAGCTTCTTCGCCACCCCGGTTTTTTCTATACACCTCCATTCTCCTTGGATTTCTTATTTAGCTTACTTCGTGCACCCATGCTTTTTATTTCTTATACCCCAGTTTAATTGCTTTATGCACCCTGCACTTTATTTCTTATATTTTTTTTAATGTTTGCATGTTCGTCTTAGTTTTATTTTGTGCACCCACAATGGTTAACACCACACCCCTTGCATATTTTGTGCTTGTTTTTTGGTTTTAATTTATTTTTTCTCGTTGCACCACAATATTCACATATACACCTATTCTTTTTTATATATAGAAACCTTTATTAAAAAATATAAAATATAAAAACGTTTTTTTAGTTTGTTTTAAAGGCCGAGCATTCGGATGATAGTTCGCATCATCCTGATTTATTTCTTTAAAAAAAATAGTTAAAAAATATTAAAAATCAGTTTTAAACTTTTAGCACTCGTGTAGACACAGGGTCTTACATGGTTTTTTCGTAGTTTTTAAAATAAATTATGGTGACGACTTTAAAATCATTTTTTCAAACCTGTCTCTTTTTGGTTGTCATCACGTCGCCCGGTTGCGACAAATAATCCTACATTTTCAAACAAACAAAGAATCTTTAATCCAGAATCACATAATCCTCTATTTCCATTAAATGGAAATGCGTAGCAGCGAAAAACTGGGGATAATTAAACATTTGGAAAATTGCATTATTTTTGTATATTTCATCAAAGGTACTGTCTTTCGGTAGAATCACTGGGATGGAAATATCTTTCCGCGGAACCCACTCCTCAACCTAAAATCTGTTTTTCGCACACCATGACTTTCTTTATGTTTTTTCATAGTTTTCAAGAATAAGCTATGTGATGACTCTAAAATCTCTTTTTCAAACCCTTAATTTTGGGTTTGTCGTTCGGTCGCGATTTCGGTTGCGATAAACATTATACAACAAGTATGTCTTTCATTAAAAAATTTGCTAGATTGATTCAGAGTGTAAAATTACATAATGTCAATTAAATTCACTATATTACATTCTTATTTTCTTTCTCTTTATAGATTGGTGACATAATGATTTATAATAACCTAACTGAAAATTTGTCTTTTGTAGGTAGCTCTGTTTTCAATACACTATGGTGCTTGTTTTTTTTCATTTTCTGGTCAGAAATGGTGATCCGAAATGAACATCGTTAAGCCTAGTCTCTTTTGATATTCACAAGAACATCTACAATAGGTACACAACATCACTATATTGGTAGATATAGTGACTTTTACATCACTTGATTATGGTGACATACATTTGTTAAACACAGAGGAAAATGTGTTTTGCATATTTTATTTGTTTAGCATGAAACTATTGGTATACCTAACAGAAAACATAACCAAATTAATGGTTTCAAAAATGAATGGTTTCAATCCAAGAAAAGAGAGAAAATCTATTACTTGGAGGGCAAGTAATGATTTTCTTTCTTTCCTCCAAGTAATAGATTTTCTCCTTTTTCTTGGATTGGAACCATTAATTTGGTCATATTTTCTGTTAGGTATATCAATAGTCCCATACTAGACAACATATAAAATATACAAAACACCTTCTCCTTGATGTTTATCAAATATAAGTCACCATAACCCTATTGATGTAAAAGTCATTATTGACCAGTATAGTGATGTTACGCAACTATGGTAAATGTTGTTTTGAATATAATAAGAGACCACCAGACTTAACCATGTTGATTTTGGCTAAACATTTCTAAGAACTTTTTCACAACATCATTTCTCGGTGCAATTGAACAAAATACAGAAGAGGGTTTCAGAAATATAATAGACAAACCGTGTCCAGGAATACATTTGATATGCTTAATCCACAATTTTGTGAAAAGATGATACGTGAGGTATTACATATTTTGCTTTCCTTCTCATTCATTTCTTCTGTTCTATATTATGTTCTTATTAATTTCTTATTGCTTTGGTCGATTACTTTTTAAGATGGGCCGATGATCTCAAAATCAAAACCAGGCGACCAAATATATGGCATGAACATGGTGTTGTTCTTCATGATATTGGTCTGGAACCAATTCTTCACATATTTAGGAAAGAATACGTTTAACTCGAGGTAAATTTTTTCTCTTATTAATCAGAATGAATAGAAAATTGTGACTGAGGTGAAGAACTAATATAATGGTGTGGATTCACTTTTGCAATTTGAATTATATTTTGTAGTTTTCTACGGTGAATCAACGCTGGATTTTCACTATGCTTTTTATGTTGATTATGGACTTTCACTTTTCAATTTGAATTATGTTTTGTCTATACTGTGACTTTAATATTAGCCGATGAGTTTCCATTTGTAACTGGTTAATATGTTATTATATTTTTTTATACGAAAAAGAAAGACTTATGGATTGACCTATAAACCCATAAGAATTTGGAATAAAAGATGTTTTTGGTCTCAACCTAGACTAAAACAACGTCCTATAATATCTATCCACTTTTATATGTATATACGTCTCTCTTTTTTTCTTCAAAATTTTGGTTTACCAATAGTAAAATAGAAATTGAAGTGAATTAAAATTATTTTCCATTAGTACACCAGATGAGTGTGCACTGGGCCTTTTGTGATTTATTCTTCTTATGTAAGATTTAAGTTTGGAACTGGAAGGTAATGCGGTAATGCAGTGAAATCTGTTTGATGTAACAAAACTCTAGCTTTTGACTCCCTGCAGCTTTTAGTAGACAGTCTCATCTATGGTAGGTTTTGATATCTATCTTGTTTTCATTATGTTGTAATATTTGTCATTTAATTATGAAAGCTTAGATTTTTACTAAAATATTCTGAAATAGTTGAGGCAGTACTGTAATAAGTTTACTTTATATCACAAAATTAATCTTCTAAATTCTTTTATATTTTAATTTTTAATTTCAAAAATGTATTCGGTTTGCACCCGCCTTTTAGCTACACAAACAGATTGGTAAATTAAAATTTTCAACACAGATTCACAGATCATGATCCACTTTCTTACTCATAATTTCATATCATTTTTATTTAATATTGTAATACATTTTTGTAATTTTACAATTATTAAAGTAATAAATAAAAATAAAATGGGTCACAACAACAATCATATATTATTGTATATAAACAAGTAAAATATTATACTATTGTTATTATCTTCCTAATTTAACGTATAAACGGTTATTAAGTTATTAAACTTATTAATATTGTTTTGTATTTTGTTAATATTATTTATTTTTACAACAGATTGTATGGAGCCCAAAAAATCCAATACACATAACATTGGAGAGTCTTATAAAGAAGGATCTCCCTCCTTGTTTTAGTCATCAAGAGGTTATAAGTGGCTACGTGAACTCTGTGACTTGTTCAGATGGGTCCGTTAGAATTACGGTAAGAACAAACATGCTTTGCTTTTCCTTTTCAAGAATAAGTTATGGATTGAAGAAATTCTCTATAAAGGAAAACATTTTCTGACTGCTCTGATAATGAAATCCTGTGCAAGTTGTAAGGAGTGTCACAAAAGGGCGGATGCTACACATAATATTCAGTAAGAGCGTCTTTGGCTAGACAAGAAGACACCATGATATTTGCTTTGATTGAAAGAGCCAAGTTTCCTTTGAATTCCCTAACCTACTCTCGGCTTTTCCTTTCAGAGTGCTTCACCTTAATCTGGTTTTTTTAATAGCTTTATAAAGCATTGTCAAATAATTATTATTTATAAGATTGAATTAAATTTTAATTTCAATTTTGAATGAGATATTTTGTTTTTGTTCTAATTTGATGGTGTTGTAGATACATTAATCCTGAAGAAAATCCGTTCTTCCCAGAAAATTTACGACCCTCGGCTGCACCAAATTAAGCCTTTTCAGAGGTAATTAATTTCGAAAACTGTTGGACGATTTGCTATTATTACTTGATAAGAGGAAAAAAGGATCTATTGTTGTTTTTAGTATTTGCAAGGTGTAGGTGCTTGAATTAAAACAAACAAGGAAATTTGGAAAATGTACTTTCATGAGCTGATTCTAATGTTCATTAATGTGGGTGATGACGGCAAGTATGCACAAACTGCTTTAGCCGATCTTAGCAGGTGAAATTTCTTGTCTCAGGTCTTTTTGAGTATGTTAATGGGTGATGTTATGCAGAACAGTATTTTATAAGCAGTTTCAAATTTTATTTTATTAGATGTTTTTGTCGGTTGTGACTCTATTTATTTTATTTAGGCTTAATTACCTACTTAGTCCCCATGTTAGGAGGTAATTTTCTGTTTAGTACCCAGTTTTAAAAATGTAGGCATTTGGTACCTATGTTTTGAAATTTGTATTAATTCAATCCTATTCAGTTAACGGCGTTATAATTGATGCGAGAAATTAATGATAGCCTGGGTGGAATAGCTATCAAATGTTTGAATGCATCTTCATTAACGTCCTTAATTTCTCGCATCAATTATAACGCCGTTAACTAGATAGGATTAAATTGATACAAATTTTAAAACATAGGTACCAAATGCCTACATTTTTAAAACCGGGTACTAAACAGAAAATTACCTCCTAACATGGGGACTAAGTAGGTAATTAAGCCATTTATTTACTTTACTGAAATTGACAACTGAATCAATTTTCAATTTTACTTAAGAGAAGATTAAAAATAATTATATTTTTTTTTTATTTCATAAAACATCTATAGGTTGAAAATTTTTTAGACAATCTCCGGACAAGGTATATATACCCAATTTTTTAATAAAATAAAAAAATCAATGTATCTGCGTTGCAGCTTTGCAGGCGCATGCCTCTACATCCAAAAATCAAATCAAAAAATATAATATCAAATTTTTTATTTTATTTTTATTTTTCAATTTATCTTTGTACATATTTTTTTAAATAAACCAAAAAAAATCAAAATACCAATTGTAAAAGAAAAAAAATTAAATAAAAAGAAAGATTCCACTGGTCACAATCATCTGCCTTGCAGCTTTGCAGGCGCATGCCTCTACATCCAAAAATCAAATCAAAAAATATAATATTAAATAATTTATTTTATTTTTATTTTTCAATTTATCTTTGTATATACCACCTAAAACAACACAAATTACCCAAACGAACCAATTGTAATAAAAAAAATTAAATAAAAAGAAAGATTCCACTGGTCACAATCATCTGCCTTGCAGCTTTGCAGGCGCATGCCTCTACATCCAGGTTGGAGGCCACCAGGGGTGTGCATAGGCCACTTCCCCAACATCATCATAACATGGCACCTATTTGATCACGGATCTGTCAGTGGATGAGGGAATTGAAAATAAAGAAACGAATGGCGTGCAGCACAGGGGAACATGGAGAGAAGAGAGGAGAATCCATACAATGTAGTTGGGCTCTACTGGACTGGGGCATTGACAGAAGAGGAGGGCAATTGTGAGAAAAACGGGGGAGAAAGTCTGAAAAAGGAGGAAGAAAATAGAGGAGAAGGTCTAAAAAAGAGGGTGAAGCAAAAAGAAAAGGGGACCGGCGAGGAGGAATTTGAAGAGCTACGAAAAAGAGAGGGGAAGAGAGAATAAAGTCTGGAAGAACGAAAGGGGGAGATCTGGACTGAAAAAGAAAACGAAAAAGAAACAATGGCAACAATAGGTATGTCAGCTAATTTACTATGTTATTTGTTGAGGTTCGGATTAATGTGAATGTTTGAAATGTGTTTAACTGGTTGGGATTATATAATGTGTGATTGATATGTATGATGATATTAAACCTCTTCATCATCGATTACTCTTCTCATTGGTCAATTCACGCTATCTTTGTATCCTCTCTTTATGTTGCTTCATCACCTTTCATCCCTTTGTTCCATCCATCAAGCAACCATTTCCTTTCTTCATTTTCATCCGTTCTCACCATCAACTATCAATCCTTAGGTTTTCACCTCCTCCATCTTTTCCGGTCTTCCACCATTTCCATTAACCCCTAATTTTCTTTCACTTACAAAATGCTAATCCTACCATCTGCATAAGACTTCGCTCATAAACCATTTTCCCATTCATCTCCTTCATTAGATTTCACTCATCAGTCATCATGTAACACCTCCACGACCAATGTAGGACCACCGACACGTCATCTTCGAACCCCATCTATCCTCATTTTTCACCTCTCTGTAATCACCATATTGGTAGCCAAGGCACAACGCCATCTTCACCTCCCTCATTCACCAAACCAAACCCAGATCACGAGCTTCACGGGCTCGTTCATCATTGTCCTCGGAGACCTTCATTCATATCTGCAAAGAGGAAACGGTGCAAATCAGAACTCAACTCACCATTCCCAAATCGCCATCGTTTCTCCATCCAATCCTGCGAATGAAAAAGGAGAAAGACCAGCGTCTCCGACACCTTCAAACCGCGTCACCCAGATTCCACGGAGCTGCCCCGTCGACCACTTTTCGCGTCCATAGACCGCAAACCTCCATCGCGAGTATTTTCTTCCACTATCAGAGACCCATATCGCCGTTGAGAAACCCTTGTTCATCTCGCCCATTTTCGCCGGCTATCGTCAACCTCACCGGATCATTCAATCTCGCCGAAGCAGCCAACATCGCGAGCCACCGAATACCTTCTCACCCTTCAATTGGATTCTCCTCGCCAAACGCCCTAGATCGACGAACCCTCCATAGTCGCTGTCGAGCCACCGCTACCTTCTCCCCTTTAATCGGACGTCGTCGCCGCTACAAGATTACGTCCTTGTGCTGAAAACATTTTCTGTTTATTTTGTAAAAAATACCAAAAAATATAAAATCTTCAAAAAACCAAAAACATAACACTTTTAAACAACAAACAATCTTCCTAACCAGAACTACGTGATCCTTGATTCTCTATCAAAAGTGGAGATACGTAGGTGCAAGGCTAGACCTTGTCAGGTTCACTTTTCCAAAAATCTAAATTTATTCATAATCAATTTTCCAAACAAACTTCTCAAACAGTTTCAAAAAAGAACTACGGAACCCTGATTTCTCATTCTTAATGAGAATACGTAGGAACAAGGTCAATCCTTGTCGGGCCCAAGAAAAATTAAAAAATACATTTTGTTTCTTTAGAATTTTATTTTAGGGGAAAGTTAAACATTTTGAAAAACACATCATATTCGCGTATTTAGTTAAAGATACTGCCTTAGGGCAGGCGTTGTAGAGTGATAATACATTCCCTACACGTAACCGACTTCCGAACCAAGAATCTCAGTTTCGCAAACCATGCCTTATCATTTTATGATTTTTCCGTAGTTTTCCAGAATAAACTATGGTGGCGACTCCAAACCTCTTTTTCAAAACCCCGCGTTTTATTTTTTCGGATCGTCGTTCCGTCGCGATTCCGGTTGCGACAAATGGTGACTACGCTGGGGAGGCAGAGAGTCCAGCCACTTAATTAGATGTGCGAATTCAATGTGATTTTTCTTTGTATTTTGTTTCCCTTTTTCTTTATCTTTGTCTGATATTTGGCATAATTGCGTGTGTGATTGTTTGATTATGTTGAACCCTAGGATAGAAAACATGTTATATCTGTCTGGGAATCTTCTGATTGTTTTGCAGGTGAAGGTTTATGATGTACAATTGCTTTCTCCCTTCACACACACACTTCATGCATATCATGAGTGAGGCCCTATACCCGGGTCTGAGCGCAACTTAGAAATAGAGGGGTTGTGTAGCGGTGTCATTTGGGACATACTTCCTGTTTGGCTATCGTGAGAACCCCAGCTAGAGTCTGTTCTCTTCATTTGTGTCTCCACATCTAGTTGATTACTATGACTGTTGTGGAGAAACAGAGAAAAGAGCCATAGCTCTGGTGGCCTTGATTTAAGCATTAGGGAACTATCCTTGTGAATGCATATATTTGGCCTTAGAACTTTAGTCATCCAACCTTTGATGAGGCACAAAAGGGAGATTTTTTGTTTGTCATTCTTTCTTAAGTGTCTTATTTCTTTTGATAAAAAAAAATATAAAACAAAAAAAAAGTAAAAAAAATATGGAAAAGAATAAATGAATTTTCAATTCATAATTCTTGAAATCATTCTAAAAAAAATAACAAAAATTTTTTACACTTTTTTAATTTTTGGGGCAACACCTCTCTCGCTTGTGTATGGGATGGAAGCAGTATTTCCATTTGGGTTTCAATTAGAGGAAGCGGAGTGGGTTTAAGCCCGATTAAATTAACTTGATTTCATTAAAAAAAAAGAAAAAAAAGTGGGATTAACGGCAGTATGTCATGGGCAATTGTAATAAAAACGAATCGTAAGAATGAATCAAAATTGTAAATATTTTGAGGCAATATAAATCATTTAATACATCATTTTTTGTCATACAAATAAAATGCGAATTATTGTTCCTTCAAAAAAAAATTTGATAAAATAGTTTTGTTTTTCTTTCAAATGAAAATTGATTTTTCCCGCAGATATATATACACACAAAAAAAATAAAAAAATTAACTCATAAAAAATTTGAAATCATTTTTTAGAATAATTTTTGGGTTCATTAGACCCAATTGATGTGCATTTTTTTTAGTCCGATTTTCACTAAAAAATAATCAAATAAAAACCGTAAATAAAAAAAAATTTAAAAAAAAAAAGGGGATCATCGAAATTCATATTGTTCAAAATTATTTTTCGAGTTCATTGGTTCTCTTCCCATTTTCTTTGTTGTTTCAAATAATTCATTGAAAATTTTAACAGGTTTATGACGTTCGCTTCGGATCTCATTTTTATTCGAAGTAAATTTCCCTTATTTTCTTTGTAAATAAATTATTTTCTTTTGAATGCATTTTTTCATTATTTCATACAAATATTTTGATTGAAAATTTTAGAAACGAATGAATCAAAGAAAAAAAAAATAAAGATATACTGAAAACGGAGTCTTAACATTATGGATAATTAATTTAAAGAAAAAAAAAATAACTTTTATTACCAATTTTTTGCAGTCTCCTGGAGGAGACCCATTCATCAAACAGGGAAAAAATAATAAAAAGAGGAAAAAAAAATACTGTGAAGATAAGGATTGGTACAGAGGTCGATCCAAGTAAATGGATCGTTTAAATATTTACCAGTCCTTATTCACAATTCGTGACAAAACACTCGGCCAAACAAAAAAAACATAAAAAAAAAAATTTTATAAAATTATTATATGTGTATATATATACAAGATATATATATATATATGTAATATATATATATGTTATATATGATTATATGATGTAATATAATGTTATATATATATATATTAAACTTTTAAAATGGAAAAGTGGGTTACGGGTGGCGATCTTAAGGGTAGGCTCCGTTGGAGGGAAACTCTGGGTACGGAATGCAGGAAGGGCATAGGGTGGAGGGATTTTGCGTTTCATGCTCTTTCGGTCGTCGATGATGACGGAATGGGGACACAATCCAAGCAGCCTCGGTATGGCCCTCATAAAAATACCAGGTCATATTTTTCAACAACAAAATTTGTTGTATGTCAATAATAGAAGAGGAAGAAGAAAAAATTCAATAAAAATAAGAATATGATAGAGTTTTGCTTTACCATTACATGTATCGCGGCAGCAAAGAAAAGATGTGTGAAAAAAAAAAAAAAAAAAAACCAAAAACACAGTGGGGGGTTATTATCCGCATTGCATGGCTTGGGGGCTACCACGAATGCACGGCATGGTTGTGTGGTGAACCAGAAGCCATTGCACGTGTTATATTCGCCGGTGGTTCCCAAAAGGTTCCCTTTGTCGAGGACGCCGGATCTCCGAAAGGACTTGGGTGGCTTCTGGCTTGGGTGTGTTTGTGGAAACCCCATTAATTGTATTAGGTTGACATCCAATCTAATCTGATCATCAGTAGGAAACGGCCACCGCTGACAGGTGGGATCCTTCTCGATTTCCATTTCCTTTTTTTGGATCTCTTCATTCCTTTCCTCTTCGAAGTATTCTAAAAAACATTAAAAAATTAAAAATAAAAAAGTGAAAATAAAAAGAACAAAAAACAAAACAAAAAGGCAATAACAAAAAAAAAGTATTTTATATTCTTAGTTCGTGTTTTCTTTAATTTGTTGTTTTTCCTTTTTAGGGTTTATTTTGTCCAGGTCAAATCTTTTGATGTTTCATGTCTTGTGTCCAGGTTGTGATTGTTTTCAATGGTCCTCGCAAAGGGTTTCCTAAAAACGGATCTATTTGTCACATTAATTGGTCCATGTCCCAAGTTCTAACAAATAAAAATTCTCTTTTAAGTTTTGTTTTTTTTATGGGAGCCGGTGGCGTTGTTTCTTACCGATTGTGCCCACTGACTGTCAAAACGGGAAGGGAGTTAAACGTTCGGTTCCAAGCCTTTATTTACCCCTTAGTTTAAGAAGCGTGTCTTCTTGTTTTTTTTCCAAAAAGTTAAAGAAAGAAAAAAATTAGAAAGCAGTTAAAGAAGCAGCGAAAGGAAAGAAAAAAAATCGGGGGACAGGCATAACGGAGAAACAAGAAAAAAGCAAAATGGGGAAGAGGAAAAAGAAAAAAACATGAAAGCGTAAAAGGAAGGAGGGAAAAGGAAGAACAGAAAGACATAAAAAGGGAGAAAGGGAAAAAAGAAAGCATGAAAGAAGGAAGGAAAAGGGAAAGCCGGAGGAAGGGCTTACTCGAAGAAGGGTTTGCCGAAGGGCCTTCGCTGATTCGTAGGGACGCTTCAGAAGGCACGGTTGATAGAGCTTCCTCACGAAATTCCAGGGACGGCTCCTCGTGAGAACGCGGGATCTCGTCGTTTTGTTGGGGGGCGACTATTGGGAGGATTGTGTTTGGTCGGATTTCGGCACTCCCTACAGCAAATAGCGACCCCCACAAAAAACGGAGGGAATCGACGTTCTCCTAGAGGGGAGCGGTCTTGGATTTCGCGGGAGGGAAAAGACTCTGTCCGCGGTTGCCTTCTTGCGAAGCGTTCTTAAGATCAGCCGAGGGAGCCTCGGCAAAGCTTTCCCGGTAGCCTTCACCCCTTCTTCTTTCGGTTAGGGCTTTCTTTCTCTTTGACAGTCTTTTCTGTTCCTTTCTCTTCGTTTACGCTTTCATTTGCTTTTTCGTTTTCCTTTACTCTTCCCTGTTAAAGCTTATTTTTTTCGTCGGGCGTGTAAGGGCTGGGGAGGGTAACAGGACCTTTTGCGGGGGGCGAGGGGGTCGAGGGCGGGGGGGCTTACTACTTTCTTCTGCTTGTCTTCTCTCTTTTAATTTATTCATTTCTATTTTGAAAAAAAAAAAAAAAAAGAACAACGCTTTTTTTGTCTTAAACATAAGGGTATAAGGGGGCGGTACACCAGGACGTTTTAATCTCCCTTCGTTTGGAAGGTTTTGATTGGCAGAGAGGGAGGAAGAGACAATCGGTAGTTAACAACAACGCCACGTATCCCCATAAAAACAGGAAAAACTTAAAGTAAAAAAGGAATTAATTTGATTGAAAACTGGACAGGGACAATATGGACAATAAAGGATCCTTGTTTTAGGGGGGAAACCTTTCGCGGGACCCATGAAACAGGATCACAAAAAACTGGGGGAACAAAAAGACCACTTGACAACATCAAAGGTACTGACTGGACAAAAAAAAACCTAAAAAGGAAAAACAAAAACAAAACAAATAAAAAGGGAAAAACCACTGGAAAACTACAGAATCTTAATAAAAAAAGATGTTTGTGTTAGTGTGTTTTGTTTGTTTTTGTTTCTTTTTATTTTACTTTTTTATTTTTTTTAATTTTATGGTTTTAGAAAATTAACTCGAGGGAAGGATGATGAGATCCAAAAAAAAGGAGGGAAAACTGGAACAATAGAAGAGATCCACCTGTCAGCGTGGTGGCGTCCTATGATGATTCAGATTAAGAGTGATGGCCAAACATATACATTAGGGGTCGCAAGAAGAGGTCCAAGTCTTTAGGAGATCGCGCTTCTCGCTAAGGACTTTCGGAGAATGCCGCGATAAACCGTGCAACAATGCTGGTTTTCAAACAAAAACCCATGGGGACCAAAAATTCGGGGGTCAGGGGCGCATGCAAGCTGAGATAAGACCCCACTGGGCCACACTATCTTTTCTTTTGGGCTGCCGCGATAACATGTATGGTAAAGAACTCTGATCATATTCTCTAATTTTATTTGGGAATTTTTTCTCCTTCTCTTCTATTATTGGCACATACCAAAAATTTTGTGTTGAAATGATTTATATGGGAAGACTGGGTGGTAAGTTATGGAAGGGGCCAAACCGAGGGGCGGCGGATCTGTTTCCCCATTACCGATCATTACATCGAGCACGACGAAGAAAAGACAATATGAACGGCGACAGCAAAAAAAATTCCCTACCACCTTATTGCCTCCGTGCATTTCCCGTTACCAGAGCTCCCTCGACGGAGATAAGCATCGACCACAGTAACCACCTTTCCTTTAAGTTAATATCAATATATATACATTTATATAACTTTTTTATGTTGTGTGTGTCGGCGAGCAGTTTGGCCAGGATTAGGAAAAAGACTGTAATATTTAACGATATTATGATCGACCTCACATTGCACCATCCTTATCCCCTTCATTGTTTTTTTTTT